GGAGGTGGTGTGAGCGGCAGTGAGATCGTGGCCTTCCTCGCAGGTGCTGCAGCTGGACTCGGCCTTCATCCGCAAGGACCCGTACGGGGTGGTGCTCATCATCGCACCCTGGAACTACCCCATCCACCTCTTCCTGGTGCCCCTCATCGGGGCCATCGCTGCGGGTGAGCCCAACCTGTCCTCTGGCCTGGAGGGTCCAGGCAGTGCTGGGCACCGGCGAGGGGTCTGGCCGGGGGCCTCGTTCCCCGCTGGGGTGCCAGAAGGGCTGGCTGTCACCCTGTCCCTGCTCTGATGTCCCGTTGCTTTCCCCCCAGGGAACTGCGTCATTGTCAAACCCTCGGAGATAACCAAGAACACAGAGAGACTTGTTGCCGAAATGCTGACCTGCTATCTGGACAACGTAAGAAGCTCTCCCTGTCCCTGGGCCCTGGTGTTCCCAACCCTGCCTTGCACGCCCCACCGCCACACCAGCCCTGGCTTTGGGTGCTGCCATATCTCCTTCCTCCATGCTCAGCTGGTGTCTGCATGCCCAGCAGCCTGGGGTGCTGTTGGTGGGGATGGGGACAGCATGGCCCGGGCAGATGCTGACAGTGGGGAACCCTTCCTCTTATGTCGCAGGACTGCTTTGCCGTGGTGACCGCCGGCGTGGAGGAGACCACCAGACTGCTGGAGAACAAGTTCGATTACATCTTCTTCACTGGTAGGTTCCATGGGCAATGAGGAAGAGGGATTCCCTCTGGCCACCTCTTAACAGCCATAACTGGCGTTTGTAATGGTTGAGCTGGGGGTTGCCCTGGTTGAGCTGGAGAGGGTGCTGGAGGTGAGGGCTCAGCCATGTGCTGCACACCAAGGTGGGTGCAGAGCAGGAGTGGGACTTGACGTGTCTCCCCTGGCCCTGGCTCCTCGTAAGGCTAAGGCCATGGGGTGGGACGTAGCAGGGTGGGATGCTCGGCAAGAACCCCTGCTACGTGTCCGACTCCTGCGACGTGCAGAACGTGGCCCGGCGGGTGGCCTGGGGCCGCTTCTTCAACGCGGGGCAGACCTGCGTGGCACCCGACTACGTGCTGTGCAGCGTGGAGATGCAGGAGAAGCTGCTGCCTGCCCTGCGTGAGGCCATCACTGATTTTTATGGCCCCAACCCCCAGGAATCCCCTGACTTCGGCCGCATCGTGGGGGACAAGCAGTTCCAGCGGGTGCAGGCGCTGCTGCGCAGCGGACGCGTGGTCATCGGAGGACAGACGGATGAGAAGGAGCGCTATATCGGTGAGGGCTTGAACTTCACAAAAGTTTTCATCCTTGCATGGGGTGGACTCGGATTTTGGAGAGGGTCTCACAGCTGCAGGGGAGGTTGTAGGTGGAAGTGACATTTAGGGAAGGTTTGGACGGGAACCAGGGATCTTGGCACGGTGTCCTATCTCAGGGGAGATGTGGGTCTTGGGGAGAGGAACCAAGGTGTCATCTCCAACCTCTCCGCATGGCTGATGCCTTTGGGTTTCCTTCTCTGCAGCTCCCACGGTGCTGGTAGACTTGCAGCCCTCTGATCCTATCATGCAGGAGGAGATCTTTGGCCCCATCTTGCCCATTGTCATCGTGGCCAACACGGATGAAGCCATTGACTTTATCAACAGCCATGAGCGGCCGCTGGTTGTGTATGCCTTCTCCTCCGATGACAAGGTATAGCGTACAGGCTGCGTGAAGCCAGGGCTGTGCTTCCCCCGCCCTCCTTGGCAGGTGTATTCAGCCCTGTTCACGCTCCAAAAATTTTCTTTGGAGCAGACAGCCCTGGTTGTGGGGGGAGGATTGCAACCGGAGGTGCAGGAACGGGGTGTGAGCCCCACATCTCCTTCCCTGCTTCCCTCCCAGGTGGTGAACCAGGTCCTGGAGCGCACAAGCAGCGGTGGCTTCTGTGGCAACGACACCCTGATGCACGTGACGCTGACCTCGCTGCCCTTTGGGGGGATCGGTAGGTCCAAATCCCCCAACCCACCTACCCCCGGTGCCTGAGCTGTGCTGGCCACGGCGAGGAGGGGTCTCGGGGGGAGACGGGGCACCCAGGCCTGGGCCCCAGGTCCCGAGGGCTCAGTGCTCCGTAGGGAAATCCCTCTGCGCCCGGCAGGACCCCACCGGACGCCCTTTGCGTCACTGCCCCAGGGCTGAGCTCCCGGGCTCTGCAGCCCTGTTGAATGCGCGTGGAGCGCTGTGAGGTTTCTTCTCTCCGTCTTTGCCACCCCAAGCACGGCATTCCCTGCGTACGTGGAAATGTCTTGTTTAAAAGGCAGGGAATTTTGAACGTGGCCATCATCTAGAGATATCTCTAGACCTTCCCTTCCCTGTGCAGCGCCTCTGTAGGGTGCCGGCAGCCAGCCCGTTGTGCCCGTCCCGCTGCTGCGCTAGCCCTTGTCTCTGCAGGAGAAAATTTGGAAATGGTTTTCAGGAACCCAGAATTTCAGTTTTTCACGGATGTCCGTTTTGGACTCTGGGGCTGAAGACAGCACAGCTTCCAAGGTATTCCCAAATATGCACGTGTTCCTTTATATAAACTCCTGAAGACCTCTACTGCATACAAGTGTTGAGGAGCAACCAGCAGGGGACGCAGACCACAGCCTAGCAGAGACACCGTGAGGGCTAAAGCCTTACATGCATCTGCCACCACCCCGCTCAGAACTGACAAATCACCCGGGGGCCACATTTTTAAGGCGAATTAATTAACCTGCACAATTTCTACTGGTCCTCCCTGTCGCTTCAAAGCTCTTGGCAATTGGCAGACTCTGAAAAGCTCTAAATTTGCTTCTGAACCCTTTGCTGGAGCTTCCTGCTGGAGAAAGGCAGCTGAGGAGGCTGCCGCTCTGCTTCCCACAGTATCCCAGTCTTCTCTGTAGCTACACCGGCTGCCAGGCAGTGGTTTTAGGTTTGCTCTTGATGATTTCAAGCAATGGTGCAAGGATTCCCTGCAACGTGAAGCAAGGAAGCGAGCATTGGCTCTAAGTTGCGTAGCTCTCACGTTCCAGTTGACGTACGTGATCTTGAGCTTCCATGGGATGTGTTCTATCCAGAGCATCAGCTGGAAAACAATCCTTCTGGAAAACAATTCTCTTAAAGGCGTCAGAACAAAGCTGCATCTGGTTCTGTGTTCTTCCCCTCCCATCCAGTCGCGTGATAAGAACAGGGCAAGCACGCATGATATTTCTCCCCGGAAGTCTTCCAGCCTCCATCTGTTTCCAGCTCGAATGATTTGCTAAGCCAGGAGGGCCCCGCACGCTCGGTAAAGGGCGCCGGACTCCACACGCTTACCCAGGCTCTCCTTGACTCCAGGGCAACTTTTAGTCACGACGATACCCCTGTGACAGGGCATCTCAGACAGAACCAGCACCGCGGGGCTGTGTTTCTTCTGGACGTCTGCTCAGGTTGAGAAACCCCCCGTGTCCAGAAGCGCCCCTCTCTTCCCGCCCAGAGGAAGGAGCTCGGTGGTGGAGACCCTCATGCTTGACCAGACGATCTCCCCTACCATGGAGAACCGGCTCCCATTCCCCACCCGAGGCTCAGCCGCTCAGCTGGCCGGGAGCCACCGGTGGCTTTTCCTTCAGGACGGGGCCGCTGGCGTGCGAGACACCCAACATAACTCATCGCTCCGACCAGCGCTTGCGTTTCATCAGGGAGAGCGACCGGCTCTTGCCGACTCGCAGAACTTTGTCATGGTGATTTCCTTCCTTTCTGCCAGCCTGCCTGGCTGTCCCCTGCTCGCTCCTGGCCTCCTGACGGCCGTTTCACTCACCCTTGGGGATGGGTCACGTCCTCAGCAAAGCCACCTTCACAGTCCTCCTTCTCCACGCCTGGAGTCTCGCTGGCAGCGGGGCTGGAGCCAGCATGGAGGGTACCCCTGCTCGTCTGGTGGCAACGTCTTGCTGCTGCTGCCCGTTCCAACACCACGTCATCAGTGACGCCCTTCCCAGTCGCTCCGGCACTGGGTGAGGTTTTGTGATCAAAGCAGCATGGTATTTTGGTTGGGTTTTTTTAAATCAATCAAGTTTTCAGAATTAGAGTAAGAAGAGAACAGAAACTCGAGAGAGGATGCAGCGAGCGCCTGCAGAAGAAGAGCTGAAGCTACAGAAGCAGGACTTGTTTCCTTTACCGAGTGTTTTGGGTGCTTCAGCACCTGTGGAGTTGGGGACGCATCTCCTGGCATCCTCAGGCACCCGTTAAACAAAATGTACCTGCTTCAGGCTGGCAGAAAACACCCCTTGCTCCCCGGGGGGCAAGGAGGGGAGGGCAGCGCCCAGTGCGCTCGCTGCCTGCGCTCTGCCATGCCCAGTCCCCCCCACTCCACTTCTCCAATCCACCAGCAAAGGGGGGGACACTTTGGATCCTCTCCCCAAAGCAGGAGATGACGTGAAAGGCTCAAGCCCTTGCCCGGTTTCCTCAGCTTGGAAATCCTCCAAGGTGCGCTCCCTCCCGAGGGGAAGATGACGTTTTGCAAACTTCTTATTTTTATCAACGTTTTTCTGAGCCCGGCTTAACGCGGTGAGCTTTGCACCAGGGCTAAACGTGCTGCCTGACACGGTGAAATCCAGACTGAGGGGGGTTGTTGGGAACCTTTCCTCCTCCCAGCCCAGTCTTCCTCCTTCAAACATAGAATCATGGAATTGTTTGGGTTGGAGAAGCCCTTTAAGCTCCCCCAGCCCAACCGCTCCCCTACCCCTGCCATCCCACCCCCAAACCCTGGCCCTCAGCACCGCCTCTGCCCGGCTGTTAAATCCCCCCAGGGGTGGGGACTCGACCCCTTCCCTGGGCAGCCCCTTCCAGCCCCTGACAGCCCCAAGGGGAAGGAATTGTTCCCCATGCCCAACCTCACCCTGCCCTGGCACAACTTGAGGCTGGTGCCCCTCGTCCCATCGCCCCTTCCCTGGGAGCAGAGACATCCCTCAAGCACCATTTGGGGGTCCAGCCTGGCCACCTCCATGGTCCCCTTTACATTGTTTTCCGGGGAAGCTTGGCCACAGCCAGCCCTCCCCGCCAACCCTGGTGCGAGAAAGCAGCTGGATGAAGATGTGGTGCTGCCCGCAGACGCGAGCGGTCTCCATCGCCACCACCTCCTCCATGCTGCCCTTGAGAGGGGAGCTGGGAGCTTCATTTTGGGGTCCTTGGTCCAAACGGTGGGCGGGCGATGGCCGGATCCAGCCACCGACCTGGCCCCCCCGCTGTGTGTTGCAGGGAGCAGCGGCATGGGGAGGTACCACGGCAAGTTCACCTTCGATGCCTTCGCCCACCACCGCGGCTGCCTGCACCGGGGCATGGGCCGGGAGGCCCTCAACGCCCTGC